CTCTTCAAATGGCTAGGCTTAAAAAACACCAATAAATTGTGTACTTGTCATCTACTGATGATATTCCATAAATGTTATTTGCTTCTTGCAGGTAAAACAGAACTAGAGTTACCTGAAGTTAGAAAAAGCCAGGAAGACGCTTATTACGTGGACATCTATCCTATGATCTGGAAGGAGTTTAAGAAAAGGGGATATGTCACCATGTTTGCTGAGGACGAACCCTCGATTAGTGCTTTCAACCTTAGATTGAATGGTTTTAAGGAATCTCCCGTGGACCACTATATGTGGCCATTTTGGCAGGCCATCTGGGACTCCGAACTCCGGGAACGGAGCAAGAGATATTGCACGGATGGTACGCCACATCATCAATTTTTATTAGAATATCTATTCTACGTGAAATATCGGTTTCCATGGTACGCCACTTTGTGAATTCTTTGATTTTCAGCAAGTTGGGATTTCAATTTTTATGGGGGACCACGGTGCTAGGCATGGATATCTGAAAGACAAGATTTTATTAATCTAGGAGCAAAAAGATTTACAAATAGAAGGAGGAGGATCCAAATGATAGAACAAGCATGATGATTATTACATATAAAGAGCAATTGTTAAAAAAAAAAAAAAAAAACCAAAAAAGTATATAAGAGATATACTGAATATACATACATGTATCGTATTCTAAGTTACATACAAATATATATAATTTATACATATATATATATATATAGTTAAAGGCAAGAAACTTATATAATAATTTTTTTTTATGCTTATCACAATATCTTCAATTAAGGTAAATTACTAAGGAATCCAGCAAGTGATCTAAGGATTGGGATTAGTCATGAGCTAAAATTGATTATCATAAGGAGAAAAATTTTTACATTTAAGTTTACAAATATTTATGAGTTCAAGTCTTTGTACATTAAGATGAGGACATGGAGAAAATGAATTTCTTGTGATGACAAAGTGAACAAATTCGTTCCTCTCTAGGTATTTTTTGATAACGTCCAATTTCAATTTTAAGCCTGTGAGCCGAAATTCTTAACTTTGTTAAAACTGATCTATGTTGATTGTTTGTAAGAATATGTAGATAAGGTTCAGCAAAATTGGTCTTTATGCTGGTAAAGGTAGACTGCCATCTTTATGTAAATTCCTGTCTTTTTCCCATGTTAATTTATGGTAATATTCTTTTCAAATTGATTTTAAATTGTGGGGTTGACATACCTAGGCTAATTTTAATATCAATATGGTTAAGTAAGAAGTTAACACAAGAATATTTTGGTGTTGTGTTTTAGAGCAGTTAAAAGCCTCACTAAGCAAGGGAAATTCACCATCTAGATTCTCTAATCTATGCCAGTATAACAACATATTTTTAATGACATCAAAATGTAAATTCATGTTACAGGGGAAAATGGAAGAGAGGCTCCCCTTCATGAGTCTGCATTTTCCTCATCGATTTAAACTTAAACATCCTCATTTGATTAAACTTCTGTCAAAGAACGCCAATCGATTGACGACACCATTTGATGTTTATGAAACTCTCAGGGATGTCCTCGATTTGTCAAGGTTGTATAAATATGTGACACCGAGCAGAGGAATCAGCCTCCTTCAGGAGATTCCAGCCAATCGGAATTGTGCGTCTGCTCATATTGACCTACATTGGTGTTCATGTTTAGTGCAAAGTAAGGTGGACCCAAACAGTGATAATGTAAAAAGCATGGCGGACCAACTTCTTCGTTATATTAATGATCTGACATTGCCATTGAGGGACTCATGTCATGAGCTGTCAATTCATAAAATAAAATCTGCCAATTTAATTAGTCCAAATGAAAAGGTAAGAAATTAACGATAGAAGATTTAAAATTGCAACAAATAATATTTGGAAGAAATATTAACTATAGCATTCTGAAATTTTCAATAAATTATTTTTAATTGAATGTCTGAAAATTAAAACATTTTCCAGTATGAAGTGATATCGTAGGAAATAATGCACCTTAAAGTATCTGCAAAGTACAAGCTCTTAAGCTTCATTCAAGTTACTCTATGCCCTTGATTACTGTAAAATCACTTATTTTTATGGGGGTGGGTGGGTTAATTTTTATTGTTTTCGAGGTATTGAAAGAACCTAAAATTCATGACCACCTCGAAATGTAAAATTTGGTACACATTACTACTCAACAGTTTCTCCAACCTTGAAATCAAATCCCCTTAAAAAATATTTCTTTCTCAAACTTCGAAAATTTGACTACATGAAAATATAATTTTATAGTATACATTTATTATACTCCCATGATCTTCTATTTCAGGTTTTGAAATTTATGAAAACAGTGGATGCTGATCAGAGAGTGGCCAACTTTAGTTCAGAAATAAATGTAGATGTTGCACATTACCAAATCACCATGGAAACACTTCCTAACTATGCACAATACGAGGGCACAGTGACAAAGAACTTGAAGGACAACAAATATGAAGTTTTCCACAGTATTAGTAGATTAGATCACTATGGCAACCAATCTGTGTGCGTGATGAAGCAGTACCCTGATCTCAGAAAATTTTGTCACTGCAGATAATATTTATGGAATTTGATAAGCCTTTTTTACATATCATGGATTCAAAATCAATTAAATGTGTTCATTAAGGTGTGACAATAAGTTACTTATTATGATAATTGATCCAAACTCCTGAATGTATACTTCTAGGAATGCAGGCAGCATTTACTGGCATCTGAAGTTTTGGGTTATTATTTTTTATTATGACTATATAATTGGAGGATTTGGGGAATACTTGAATAGATTTTGGTGTCTTTCTGTCTGTTTTCCACAGAAATGTTAATTAACTTTTGAACGCTAGGGTTTAAATATTTCATGTGTATTCCTTGTGACAAGACCAGCTTTATTTGGGTACCAACATTTATTTTATTGCATAACCGTGACCTTGGAGTTAACACTTAAACAAAATTTTAACTTTGTTCTGACTTTTGAACATTTGATGCTATGACTTTCACATTTCTCATGTGCAATTATGGTGTACTTTGTGACAAGACCTTTCATCTGTTTTTGAAAAAAAAAAACAAAAAGGCATGCAAAAACATTAACTTTGATCATATCTTTAGAATAGGTAATACTAGAGTTTTCATATTCCACCTGTATATTCCTTGTGTTAAGACTTTTTTGACTACCAACTTTTTTACTTCATGACCTTGAACTTGACATTTGACCTGCTTTGAAAAAAAACCCTTGGTTCCATGCAGGGACACCAGTGATTCACAAAGTTAACACATTTTGTTGAAATATTTTTCTTCCTGTGATATTTTGATATAACAGTTTTATAATGTATTTCCTTTCATTCTCTCTGTTTAAAGTCATGTCACTGCTCATGTGACTGTGTGAATTTTAATTTCTTGTTGTTCATTTCTAGATGCCTTATATCTCAATAATTTGTATCCATTAAGTTATTTTTTGTAAACAATTAAACATGTACAAATTTACCTTGATGAATTGCAGAATCAACAATAATATATTGATTTATATGCACTCTTTTGACACAAAGTGTATTACATTATTTATTATATTTACATGTATTTATATATTTTACATGTGTGGATTGTATTAGTTTTAAATTAAACGGAATACTTGATGTTGTTTTACTTAAAATTTTGTATTAAAATATATCATTCAAATGAATTTGTATTTGTATAAACACTTTGTTGTGATTTTCCCTCCAGTACTTACTTCATTTAGTACATGTAAGTTCAATTATAAACTTTTTCGGCAATATGTTTATAACTTGGGTGGTCTATTGGTCAAAAAAATTCTATGCAATTACATGAGGTTAATACATGTATGTCTATCTTATTAAACAAGCAAATGAATCTGCATTATTGAATTTCTTTTATTTATTGTCCAGACAAAATAGAAAAATTATTTTGGCTGCAAGCTCTTTTCCAATTTCATACCCCCCCCCCCCCCCCCCACACACACACACACTTAAAAAGTGGGAGGCTATAATGATCGTGATGTCAGTCTGTTACACTTATCCATCTCTTATCCGCAACTCCTCTCATACTACTAAATAAAATTTAATGATACTTTCACAGATTCTTTCATATACATTGTATAATATGCCAATGTGCACCTTCTAGTTTACTTTTTTAACTAAGGCTTATATTTTGGGTTTATCATTTAGTGAATTCAGTGAATTGCTGATAAGAGATGGGTACCCCAAAGTGTAACAGGTGGAAGAACATCCTGATTACTAAATACCCTCCCACTTCTCAAGCAGGGGAGGGGAGGTTATAAACATAGGTAATCAGAGATTACAGAGCTCACCTCAACGAATGTTGTCTTAAAAATTATACACGCTATAACTTGCGCCAGTTAAAATACGATTGGAAATTGTTATAATTTGTTTATCAACAAAAGTTACGAAAATACTGTACGTTTGAGATACTACTCACTTTTGACGTGGATGGCAAGCATCTTACTTAATGGTACTTATCTTTTAATGTATTCAGTATCAACCATATATTCTCTGTTATGACGCATATTAACCTTATATTAATAATTGTTGTCAAAATGCAACATACCTCGTTGACTGTGATTTCCCGTGGACATGTGTTTCTATATATAGGCCTACTGTTTACGCACTTCCTTCATCAATATTCATGAAAAGACTGAGTTCTTAATTCCTAGATATTGTTTAATTGTTTTGTTATTACAACGACATCTATAGTACAATTTTGTGGAAAGTATTATTTTCCATTACACTTCATGTGTTTTAAATCATTAATCATTTTGTTTCACACAAAATTCGGCGTTCATATAGCGTATATGACTTTAAGTAAGGCAAAGTCACACAATTAACCAACAAAAAGTATACATTCCAAAAATGAAAATATTTAAGGAATTTTGATCTGATACTTTGAAATAGACCTACATAAAAAATTTAAACTAGTTCTTCTTCATGAAAATGTAATGAAAATCCAGCATCTGAAGCAAATTTGAGAGTTTTCATCTCTTGATGCAGCATTTGTGCAAGTTTGGTTTATACAATATTATATAGCCTTATAGTTTTTGGTAATAGACCTGCAACCATAACTTTTACCTTGTCTATTATCTGAACAAGAGGCCCACGGGCCTTATAGGTCACCTGAGTATCATGTAACATTCCAGCGATTGTATTTGGTTCGTGTTTTTATCCAAAAGCCATGAAATTCACAAATTTTGAATTAGGCACCATTGCTTATCAAAGGGCAGATCTCAAAGCATTAATTTATTTTTAGTCAAAGTACCCCCTGGTACCCCTGACCCAGCGTCCCTGAAATTATCTATTTTGAAAGAGGCCCCTTTCTTCATTATAAGGCCAGCATTTTTTTTTTGTTTAGGTTTAGTTATTAACATGGGAATAAAAAAGTCCCAAAGGAGAAGGAAATAAAATTT